GAGGCAGAGAGTTTGACCAGCACAGCTAGAGAGGAATCTCCAACTGCAGACCAACATACAGTATTTACTACTGTATTTATGTGAATGAGGAAATACCCATTATTGTCCGTAGGTATGCTATAACAAAAATAATAAAATTAAATATATAAAAGCTTTAAGACTAAGAAATCATGAAGAAAATTTCGAGTATTTACAGAAAAAATTAAAGATGGTCAAAATAAACAGAATATCCATGTGAGCGTAACATCATATGGTTTAATACACCTTTTAATCGTGATGTTCATATTGGAAGAATTTTCCTAAATTTAATTCATAAGCACTTCAACGATTCACCAACACTAAAAAAGATTTTTAATAAAAAATAATATTAAGATTAACTATAACTGCGTTAATAACATAGATAATTGTTATGGGATCTTATCCATAATAATAATAATTGACTATTCCATGCTTAATAAATACTGCACCTCAGGAGTAGGCAAGGAGTCAGTCAGGAGTTCAAGTCGAGTTAAGAGTCGAGTCAGTGGCAGTCCGAAACAGAGTCGCGTTCAAACAATTACTGCAAGACATTGGAAGAGTGATACTGGTCGAGACTACATTATTCTCTCTCCTAAACCTGATTGTTCATACTAACACTTCGACTTCTCTGTATATATTTTGTTTGTAATATATCTGTGTTATTCCATATCCGCCTTCGAGTTCTTCTTTATTGGTTCTACCTTGGACTATCACCGTGGTACAAGGAACAGGACCATAACAATAAATCTATATTCTAATATAACATTATATTAAACAAATATATTTCCAACAAAGACGCCGTAATTTTTTTTAAATAAATACAACTGCCGAAATATATATGTCCCTTAAACGATCAATGTATGGCTGATAATATTGTATCCTGTGCTAGCATACATTCCGGTAACAACGTTTAATTCATTTTTTGTTTCACTGAAAATCCTTGGAAATTTCGTTTTTACCATTATCGAATGACTTCAGGCAATATAAAATATAATAGAGCATTGCTCTCTCTAAATATTTCTGGTGATTAAAGAATGGTGCTAATACACCTATTATTACCTAGAATATTGTAGTAAGAGCCAAATCTTATAACGGAAAGGAAAATAGATGTAACTTATGTCATATTGAAAAAAAAAAACACTTAGATACCCCTAGCTTGTTAAACAAGAGAAATGAATTGATTATTACATGTTGGCATAAAAATAAATATTTGCTTAAACACGTTGGTCCAGATTAATTTTTAATGTAAATTACGGTTTGTTTAAACAAAAAGTAATCTCCCTTTAATATAAAAATAAAAAATATTCACAACTCTAAAATATTTTTTACATATATATATATATACAAATCCAGTGTATTTTAAATGCCAAATATAATTTTTAAAATAAAAAAAACTGTAATCCCAGTATAATATATAACTGCGCCAACATTGCAATAACCAGACGTATTTTAACATTTAAATTATGTAATGATTAATCTATGTTCAGCACCTGATGATAATGCTGTGCATGAAACTCTGAATTGTACTATCGGTGAGGGTATATATATATATATATATATATATATATATGAGAAATCAGAGCAGCCCATTTCGAATTCCATTTGCGTTCGTTATATTCACTTATGCACAAATACACTTGCGAATCTATCACTTCTTCCCCCTGCTATGGGTTAGATAGGAGGACAGCCTGGTTTCTTTAGCCTTAGTTGCTAACCAGTCTATGGCAACCTACTGTGGGAAAAATTTTCTGCCTTGTCAGTCATGTATCGAAAAATGCATGATCGCATGTGGCAATTAACTGACTGATATATATATATATATATATATATATATATATATATATATATATATATATATATATATATATATATTAATATATATATATATATATGATAAATACATAGTTTTATGGTATGTAATATTTATAGGTAAAGTGTTCAATATCAGGAATAGAACGTATGTGCACTGAGATCAACACCGAGTGGTGTCAATCTGTTTCATTCATGATAGGAATCTTCAGGCCATGTGTCTCAAGATGGCGTTCAAACATAAAACTGGTGACCTCAGTGTCTACGTATACGGTTGTCTCTTTCTTAATTATTTAATTAATATTTGCTCTGTTGTTACATTGAGCACTCCAGATTACATCTTCTTTGGAATAATCCACACAGATTACCAAACTCATCATTACCTTACGATATATATATATATATATATATATATATATATATATATATATATATATATATATATATATATATTTTAGTCAAGTAGATAATTTAATGATCCTTATATCTTGCGAGAAGACACTCATTTTTAACTTTTCATTTAAGTTTCTTTTCTTTTCTTTTTTTATTAAATGTTCTGGTTTTTTATTTATCTTTCTGTTTTCAATTTTGAATGTTTGATGTCAATAATTCAATACTAAGTTCATAATCTTTGGTGCCGATCTAGTGTGATATATATCCAGACCCCATTTCAAAGGAATAGGAAATGCTTCGTTCAAGTACGAAAAGGAATCGTTGTCATAGCTCTTCAGTGCTGATTCATCTAATGTGGCTTGTAGGCCTTTCTGCTTTCGAATTTACAACGGGAGATAACTGCATCTCCATCATCTCAACGGAAGTGGAAAGGAAAAGGAAAGAAAAGAAAAGACGATGCAGACGCAGCAACCTTCACTTCAATCGATGTTTTATCCAGTGTAAACATTTAGAAGGACCTTAGGATATGGTTTCTTCTTATTAAAGGGAATTGGTAAGAGGATGAGATAATATTAGAGAGAATGGCGCTGCTGTTTCATTTTTTTTTTATATTCCAGCTCCGAATTTAATAGATATCCGGTCATTTCCGACGCTTTAAGCAAATTTCGGAACGAAAATTGCAGGCTTTGAACCATAAAAGTTGAACATTTCTCCACGTTAATAAAAAAATTTTTCAGTGTTTCATAATCTCTTCTGGAAGCTGAATGTGTTTAATGCGAAATAAAACTCGAATTTAATTTTGTCATTCTAAATTCTGAAATTTTATTTACTATTTATTTATTTATTTTTCTTTCAATAAGAGTAGATAGGTTTGCCTATCGTCCTGTTCACACTTCTCCCCAGTCTTTTGAACAGGTCTGTTCTTTGTTTCCTGTTTAGGATTGGATTCTTCAATAAATATTATAATTAATGGATTTAAAACGGTGGAATTAATATCTACCGGTAGACATTCTCGAAATTGTGGATAAACTGTTCGAAGTCCATGTTGCACTTTTCTTTTGTTCCAACACTTACAACACAATACTCAACAAAATATTCTAAAATTGGAAAAATACAATAAAAATGTTCCTTCTAAAGTCTATTCCAACTCTTTCACTCTTAGTAGAACCCCAAATTCGTGTCTTAGTGGCGTTATCGCCTTGCTTTGGGTGAATTGATATTAAAAAAAAAATCATTAATTACTTCGCATACCGAGCAGTAACAAATAAATAACCTTTAAGAATTCATGTCAATTTAAGTATAAGGAAACAGTTTACCACTTACCAATATATGTTATTGTAACTGTAAAAAGATTACAGATGTAATTTACAAATGAAAATATTTGCTGTCATTTTGACGCTACCCGACAGCAGACTGGATCTAAAAATAATGTTTTGCAACCTAGAAAAGGTTACTGAATGAGGAATAACTAAAACGGAGATTTGAAATGAAATGGTAATCTTTATAACATCAACAAAATACAATACTCGCCAGCGGCATGAAGTAGGTAAACCACAGCTAGTGATGGACTACTAAGACACCATATTACCCCCACTTATAATAGTGTCCAACATATTTATGAGGATTGCGACATACCCATTAGTGTTCATAGGTACATAGGTATATAACAGATTGTAATGAGATAAAGAGGGCCCACGCCCAACTATCATTTAATATTCATAATAAATAAATAAAATTTTCAAAAATTACATATGCAAAACAGATTACAATTAAAATTTTTATGGAAAATGTGTATTACTTAGTATTTACAGTGTACATGACCTATACATACTAATGGCAACAGATGCCAAATGTAAATAAAGAATGTTTAATTAATTGGTTGATATTTTTAAATAGTTTACTGCCCAATTTACATATTAACAGATAGTTCAGAAGTATAAGACAACATTGCATATAGTCCACTATATTAAGAGCATAGCTGGGGGGGGAAGAAGAGGATTCATACCTTTCCTAAGGTCGTCTTCAAATCTTGCAGTGAATTCATGTCACATATCCTCCATGCTCTTGAAGAATGCATACTATCATGTGTCCATACACTTACAAGCAGCGTTTCTTGCAAACTGTAAGAACTCGTGTCAGCCATCTGAAATAGGAAATTATATTATGTTGGGGTAACAAGAATTTCGGACCACCCTGTACATATTACTGGCAGCAAATACCACATGTACATGCAGGATGTTATGATATGAATTTTTATTTATTTTAACTTTAAGTAATTGGTTGATATTTTAAAATAGTTTACGGCACAATTTATACATTAAAAGATAGTTCAAAAGCACAATAAATAATTACACGCAATTATAATGACAGCAATCGTTTGTGTTCCCTAGATGAGCATTTATTGCATTTTTATTCGATATAGGTTGCCATCTCCATCAGGGACCGATTTGTTATCGGGCAAGCTGATGTCCTGATACGATTATTCACAGAGAAGATAGTGTTTGTGTGTGTCCTATGAAATATAAATAATCATAGTTAAGAAAGATAAGAATGAAAAAATGCCCAACAGAACAATCGATGATCTTATAAAGGAATAGTCTGGTGACGTACTAACTCGTGCAACTTCATCTAAGACTCATCAGGCTTTTAAGTGACAGGATCTCAACATTCTGACACTCAAAAGTCTAAGTAAACTTAGGCGAAAGTGCGCTCACTGGTAAGTTGCCAACGTAGTCCTTTTAATACTCACTCACTCTCTCTCTCTCTCTCTCTCTCCGTACTCTCCGGCAATAGATAGATAGATAGATAGATAGATAGATAGATAGATAGATAGATAGATAGATAGATCCGCATCGCTCTTTGTAGAATTCTTTAAAAAAGTAAAGTAACGGCCCATCATAAAGTGCTCACTAAAGAACTAGAACGACAATAGATAGATAGATAGATAGATAGATAGATAGATAGATAGATAGATAAGAACAGACTGAGATAGATAGATAGATAGATATGAACAGACTGAGATAGATAGATAGATAGATACGAACAGACTGACATATATATAGATAGATATGAACAGACTGACATATATATATATATATATATATATATATATATATATAGATAGATAGATAGATAGATAGATAAAGAACATACTGAGATAGATAGATAGATAGATAGATATGAACAGACTGAGATAGATAGATAGATAGATAGATACGAACAGACTGACATATATATAGATAGATATGAACAGACTGACATATATATAGAGAGAGAGATAGATAGATAGATAGATAGATAGATAGATAGATAAAGAACATACTGAGATAGATAGATAGATAGATAGATAGATAGATAGATAGATAGATATTTATAGTAAAAATGTCAACAACTTCAAACTAATGAGTGACTCCTAAACTCCTCAATCCAACCTCTGAACTTTTCCGACAAAAACGAAAAAAAAAAATGCTTTCTTTCAAGTAACAATTTTGTGGAAACATTTTTTTTTTTGGTGGTGGTGGTGGGGGGGATTTGATACTTAATTCACTGTTGAACTTTATTGCGTTTTCCTTGTAGATCGGAGCACAATGTGTCAGCAAATCAGCGGGATTTCTTGATACTTCAGGCTTCCTTGTAATTTCTGCACTGTTGACCGATTTCCCCCAACTTTGCAGCCACTTCAAAGAAAACCTCAATGGCTTGAGGTATTTGAAACATTACCGAGTGTAAGCGAAGAGATGAGTTGAATTCATGTATGCATGTATGGTTAAAATGGCAGCGTTCCAATTATGAGACCCCGGTTCGAATTTCACCATGGTCGATCTGTTCTCGATCATATCGGCCTGGGGAAATGATCCTAGCTTTGGGAAATACCTGAATGCCGCACTACAAAGTCACAAGTCATTGTGATCGAGGGTTTGAGTGTGCTGGCCGTGTTCATATTGTTGATCAGGCTAGATAACGTACTCTCTCTCTCTCTCTCTCTCTCTCTCTCTCTCTCTCAGCAACTGCAAGTATGGTATAAACTACAGATCGGCTCTATGCGTGTTGAACCAACACAAATATGATCAAGCGGGCGTCTGCAAAAATAGACTGGCTAGCCAACCCGGAAAACGAGAAGCCAGCTATTGTTATGTTTGTTTGTTTGCTTGTTTGTATCAACTCCTTGTGGGTCATTTAATACCGAAATCTTATTTCCTTGGGAGCATTAGTAATTTCTTTGACAAAAAATGTATGGCTGGTAATATTTTTTCCTTACAGAAATCTATTGCTATAAAAAAATTATAATCCCATAGTATTTTGACCCCCAGTTCGGGGGTTAACTATTTGTCCATAGCTGGGACCCTAACAGGTGCTACCACTCCCAGTCAGGGTGGACCGGGGAACAATAGCAATAAACAGGTGGTTCCAAGCTCCTGAAAAAAATCCTTGCTGCCAGATGTAGTTCATTGTTATGTAAGGATCAAAAAGTACTTTTTTATACGTTTCTGGACGTTTACAAATCTGATAGCGTTGAATTGTTCTCTTCCGTACTTTTAAAGGATATACCACGAAAAAGGGATCGAGTTGTCTGAATAATTGAAAAAGTGATTGCCTTTAAAAAGAATGCATTATTGGAGCAATCCAACCGAGTTACTGGGTCCTCTCTTACTTTACTCAGTGTGAAGTTATGTTGCCAGTCTAAAGAAGGAAATACTTCATGTTCACAAAGTCAGGGCAATTAGATTATGAATACCAGTAACAACACCTTGTCTCATAAATTATGTCTAGCAAAAAGACCGGGGAGAACAACGATCGTATAAGTTCGCCTATCGCCCGGTTCACACTCCACACCTGTTATTTTTAACAAGAGTAAGTGATTATCCCTTGTTTCCTGTTTAGGATTGGATTTCCTGTTCCTTTTAAACATTTTACATTCTCTTTCACACCCAGTAAACCATTGCGTCTTAGTGGCATTATCGCCGTGTTTGGAGTGAATTGATTTAAAAATATTGACTGAATCGTTTTTTACTGTTTTATCAATATTTTTCAGGTTATTGAAGCCAGAAAATATTTTTAGATTGTTAAGAAAAATGGAGATAATAATGATTAACTGATACAAACTCTACTGATTAACCCATAGCATAGGGAGAAGTGGTGTATTCATATTTTTTCCAAGGGCATTTGCATGTATGCCAATAGGAGTAGATAGGTTCGCCTATCGTCCGCTTTACACTCCTGCCCAGTATTTTGAACAGGTGTTTATCCTTGTTCTTTGTTTATGATTCGGTTTCCGGTTCCTTCTCATTCTCTTTCACACTCAGTAAACCTTTGCGTCTTAGTTGGCATTATCACCTCGTACATGGTACAAAGGCCCCGGGAGAGAAATCAGGATTGTTGTTTTTGTGGAGCGAAGACGGAAATAAAGGCAAAGAGAGTCAATCATTAAGTGACAAAAAATGTTTTTTTTTTTGAGTCGGAGGTTCCACGTATCTTTCCGGTTAATAAATTAATCTTTTGAAAATAAATATTTAACATTTTTCAACGAATGGGTCGCGTTTCCGCCGACAATAAAAAAAAAAGAAAAAAAAACGCGCTTCGTGATCCATTTGAAGGGTATTTAAGTAAAGTCTCTATATGAACAAACTAAGGAGATAGAGACGGATACATACGATATTAGTTCACGACGAAAGCTTCAAAAAGATTCCTTTATTCATTCACCCGTCTTCCTCACAGAGCCATGTGACATTTACATCTATTTTTTTCGAATGTTATATAATTATTCTTATAACTTTATCAAAATAAGTTTATTGATCTTTATATTTTGGAATTATATAATTTACCTTCATATCCTTATTTTTCCTTGATAAAATGTTCTTTGAAGCTTTAAAATTAAAAGTTATTTTCACATTTTTTCTTAATATCGTACTGACCTTTATGCTCGCTACTGTATATATATATATATATATATATATATATATATATATATATATATATATATATATATATGTGTGTGTGTGTGTGTGTGTGTGTGTGTGTTAGTGGGTTAGTGGTGACTGTCTAGATCGTCAATCTTCGTCGGGATCATTATAATCTTTAACAAAATATTGGCATAACTTAAATGCTTTAATGATTCCTTTACTCAAATATACAATTAAAAAAAAAATCTCTGCATGAAATTAAAAAAATATACATTTTGGTATTTTAATATTAATTGTAATAATTTTATAAAAACACAAATTTATTTAGAAAAATTTTTCTCAAATTCTCAAAACATGTAAGAAAAAAGTGAGGAGAACGTCTTTGACATGCTTATCTGCTTATTGCCTTCTCTAACCTTTCTATTTTTTTTATTGTTTTATAGCCTATTTATCAATACACTGAATATAGAGATAGGAATAATTGTTGTAGGTTCAGTAAGTAGAAATGTCTATTTCACTCACTGAAGCTAAGTGTGTGGACAGGGTTGTCTTCCGTTTTTTGTTTTTTTTTTAAGTCAGGAACATTGTGTGTGGGTCACTGTGCGTGTGTATTTTTAGTTTAATTTATTGTACGTTTATGATCAGTACTGCTGACTAATATCATATTTCCTCAACACCACTCCAGTAATACTCTTCACGCCGACCCTTCAGTCGACTATTTTCGCCGACTTTAAACCGACTTTAAATTTAAGTTTCCCTTTTTTCAATTGATACATTCCGCTAAAAACTTATACTGTACGGAATACATTATTTAAAATAAACATTTGAAAACAATAAGTTTTAAATAAAAATGTGTTCGTTGAAAAACAGGGCATACGAGTCATTAGAGATTTTTAAAAGTTTATTTATAAAATAAAAGCAAGAAATACATTGCCTATTAAGTATGTCTCCAGATTGAAAGGGCTCAGACCTACGCAGCTCGACTAGCCACATTAACTTTATTTCGGGGAAAAGGATATTAACACCCCTAGATTTTTGCTTAGCTGGGAAGATTGTCTACTTCACATTTGTTCGCAGTGTTATTTATTCGGGAAGTGTAGTTAATATATGTTTTTAATAATCTTAGATTTTTGAAAAATTACAGAAAATAACGAAGCCATAATTAAGAGTAAGAGTATGTGGAATGTAGAGTTTTCTGTTTTCTTCGATAGCTGGTATTATCTATAATTAAAAATAGATTTTGATGAATTTTATAGCTGCCATGATAATCACAGAATGAAACTGCATTAAATCTGTGGAGATTATTTGTAAACTTCCTTTCATTGTTACGACTACTACTACTACAACAACAACTACTACTACTAGTACTCTTTGGAAAAACAGTCTGAATTAGTAAAAAAAATTTTTATTTAATACAGCGTTATAATAATACACACACATACACATACACATACATATATGTCGTATAGGAGGCACGGTGGAGTGATGGATATCGGCTTGGATTGAGGAATCGCAGAGCCTAGTTCGAATCCAGGTTGAATCCATTACATTCACTTACGTGCTAATACCCTTGGGAAAGGTGTGAATCCTCTTCTTCTCCCTGCAGCTATGGGTAAAATAGCAGGACAGACTGGGTTCTATAGCCTTGGATGGCAACTGGTCTAGGAGAAGGACAACTCTGAATTCAAAACCTGCGGAGGGTCGTTTGGGGACCTTGTGGCACTTAGTGCACCAGGTCTCTGTATTCGTCCCTTCAAAAAAGTGTGGATGGTCTTGCACGAAACCTTCATCACTATAATCGAATCTCATGTGCCGGTGTCGGGCTGTCGGTTTCTTGCAAACTGATCTGCTTGACCCTCATACTTCGAACCCGACGGGATTGTCGATATATGTAATAGTAGTAAACCATAAAATCCAACATTTTGTGTTTTAAACTTAACTTTTTTTCTATAAAAATGAAAAAAGAAACTTTTCGTTCCTCTCTTAGTTTCAAATGAACACTTAATTCTTCATATAACCCCATTTTAATGTCATAAAGTTAATATCCGGGTTGAATTTTATAAAACCTCTTCCCTTTAAGGCTAATACCTTCCACCCTCCCCTAACCACTGTCTGGTGCATTTCTTCTGACTGAAACATTGAAATGGATAATTTCTGTATTAATATTTCGATAGTTGTCACAGTTAAGCTTCTAATTCCGACACGAAATCATTCTGTATACCGGGGTTGAATAAGACTGACGAAGTTTTCGTCGGTTGAAATAAATCTATACCTCCCCCCACCAGATGAGGTAATTTTGGATTTTATCGTTTACTACTATTTATTTGTTCAGTATAATAAATACATTGAGCTATTTTTGTGGATCAGTTTTAATATTTTATATTACTAAGATCCACTTGGATTATATACCAATGGAATTATTTACTATATATATATATATATATATATATATATATATATATATATATATATATATATATATATATATATATATATAAGTTAACCGTTTAAATGTGTCAGTGTCTGGATCTCCTCAAGTAATTTTAAGTATGAAAGAATAGAAATATTAAATTACATCTAACTCACTCATGTCTTCTCTCTCCCCCCTCACTTCCTCACTTCGTTAATTTACATGTGCTTAATACGGCCCGTCAAAAATGTGTAAATTTCTTTTCATTTTTTTGTTTCAACCTTTGGAAGTAAAGTCTGATGATCCGCATTCCTTTAAAAGGGCTGTGCTGAAATAATTTATTACATGGAACCATAAAGTGGTCTGTTTTTATTTAAATTATTTGCTCTGGATTTACATTGAGCTCTCTCGATTTTATCCTCCTTGGGTCTACCCATACGCATTACCTAGTTTTTCATAAACTATATATATATATATATATATATATATATATATATATATATATATGTACGTATATATTAGTTAGTTCTTGTATGTGAATAATTAATTCTGTTTATTTTTCTGAGTCCATTCACTGAGTGTCCCTGGCTTTCTTTTATTCTTTTTTTTTTTTTTTGTCAAGTTCGTTGCATATAACTTCTTTTTGGATCTTTATTCATAGTATCCTCCATTTTTCTTCTTCCTCTCCGTTTTTAACTTAAATATTTCTTGGTTGGTCAGCGGAATAAGCAATTTAAATCACAATTTCCCAACAGTTTTCCGTCAGGTGGAACTCAGAGAGAGTATAATGGCGGCCATATCCGAGCAACCAGTCATAATAGAACAACATTGATAATCAATTTAGCACATCAAAACTGAAAGCCAAAGAAGAGTTCCCGATCGTCACTTATTTGTTTTCCTTCACTTTTGCCATGTTTAGAAATATACGCCACATAGGTTTTTAATTATTTTTCTTTAATTTATTTTATAATTTCTTTTTTTTTTCATTTGTATATTTTTTTCATATTTATTTCTACATTTATATTTTTTTTTCACGATTCATTCGTTTTTTTTTTTCTTGTTGCTTTTCTCTTTTTTTTCCTTTCTTCTATTATCTTTTTTACGATTCATTCATGTTTTTTTCATTTCTGTACTACTACTTTTCTTTTCATGACTCATTTATGTTTTCTTTTTCTTTTCAAAACTTTATCATTTCTTTTGATCTCTTCTTCCGCTCCTAGTTTATATAGTTCCGCTTCTCTTTCATTGCTTGAATACGAACATTCTTGCCTAGTTTCTTCTTTCTGTGAAGCATTTTTAATTCTTTCTTTTCCTTTTTCTTTATAATTTCCCTTTCTCTTTTCCATTATATTTTGGTTCTATTACTTTTTTTAAAAAAACTTCATTACGATATATCGCTTTTTATTTTTCTCGCTTGCATTTCTTCAGATGAAGGATGCCTAAAACTCTATTCTTATGAAATTGACTCATCTTAAACAAGATTTAGTTTAATGACCGTTAGCACAAGTCAATATAATTAAGTGCCTGGATTTTCAACCTTTAAACAATTATGTCTTTCTATGGTTCCTACAATGGCACCACGAAGAAAGAAAACATTGACTTCAAAACGGAATTATTACTCATCTCCCAATTGATGAATGTTTTGCTTTTAGAATTCTCCAAGCCTTTCGAACAGTTTTTGCGTTTACCTTTTTTCTTCTTTTTTTTTGTTTTGTTTGTTTGTTTTTTTTGTTTTTTTTTCAGTTTAACGCAATATTTCGACAGTGCCTTTGCTAATATGTAGAAAAAAAGAAAGAAAGAAAGAAAGAAAGACAGAAAGAAAGAAAGAAAGACAGATCTAAAGAAAGAAAGTTTTATTTTTCCTTTCTCTCTCTCTCTCTCATTTTGGTGGTGGCGAAGAAGACGGGAAAAGAAAGAAAGAAAGAAAGAAAGAAAGAAAGGAAAGGAAGGAAGAAAAGGAATCCTAAAATACGATACATACACAGCTACTTGCATGAACAGATCGTTGTGTTGTAATAGATAGCAAGTTCGTCTTACTAAAACAATTACAGCTGAATAGTGAGTTAAGTCCCCACTGGGTGACCCATACTTCGCCCTTGTGCCACATCTAAACTGTGCTTAGATAACCACCATGCATAGTTACTTATGACTAACAATATTTTTAAAACTTCGATAGATGCTTGCACGCTTAGTTTATATTGGTTGCATAAAAATAAATACAATATTCTGAAAAACAAAAACTTCAAATTTCTTTTAAGAGTAACAAAAATAAAACTACATTAGTTTTAACCTTTTTTGTCTCTCGTTTTGGTGGGAGATTCATTCCGGAAGTCAATATGCGTGATTTTGATTTGGCGATGACAATAATCCCTAAAATCAGATAATTTTCAAAAAAAGACACACTTTCAACATTATTAATCAGATATTTTCATGCAACAACTACAGAAACGAATAAATGTGCTCACGCGGATATCTAGTTCCCTGTCCACCTTTTGTCGCCATTTCATCAGCAGAATGGTAATAAAGCCACTAAGACACAAGAAGTTATTGGATGTGAAAGAATATGCGAAAAAGTAAAGACATTATTAAAGAGCGAGAGCAATAATAAAGTGGGAATTACGAAGACAGAATATAACAATTGACATTGCATTTCAATTTTTCAAGATCAAAGTTGACTGGAATGCAAGAAGTTGGAAGAAAGTTTTATATGCGAGAGGATTGAGAAAAAAAGCTGTTAACATAGATTTTATGGTTACATCTAACAATTTCAACAGAAAAATGATGAAACTTAGTTGCCAATCTAGTACTGCGCTTAAATTCGTAAAGTCCAAGAACCAAATAGGAAAGCTCATCAAAACAATTACCATGAAAATCTTTATAGAAAAGGCAGAGGGAAGCTAAGTTACGGTGATGGGAAGAGACTGAGGCCGACATGCAAGATCAGGACAGATAACATTGCAAATTCTTATTTGGCTTTTATCAAGTATCTATAAATGCATAACAGAAGCACCAGACAAGATGTGACAACTATATTTCATGCATGAACGAATGGTCGACATAAACGTGTAAGATAGAGAGCTGCCAATTTGACCTTATTGAAAGGAACAGATTTAACATCTAGAAGACGGCCATTCAAGACAATTCCCATTTCGCGATTTGGTAAGAAAGATTAAATCCGTTCAAAAGTTCGTCCAGAAATACAGTAACTTTTCAACTTGTGAAGAAAACCAGCATACCAAACACTGTCAAATGCCTTCGAGACATCCAAAGCCTCAACCAGAGCTTCACCATTCTCATCTAAAGCTTGACAGGCTATTTCAGAAATAACCGTTGACACATCAGTGATTGACATAGAGAGGTGAAAGCCATATTACTTGTCTGAAAGAAAACCCCGCGGGGTGAGATGCTTAATCAATTCGAAGAGACAGGAAATAATGAAAAATGAGATAAATGAGATAGAGTCTGAATGTGTGTGTGTGTGTGTGTGTGTGTGTGTGTGTGTGTGTGTGTGTGTGTGTGTGTGTGTGTGTTGTGTGTGTGTGCCCGGATGCAAGTGTATCTGGACACATACATGGACAACTTAAAACTGGAAGTTGATACAGATATTGATGCTAACCATAATAATGATGATTTTCTTGTATGTCTCGTGTCTCTTCAGGATGTGGACGGTCATGGCTCTCCACAACTTCCTTCGTAGCTGCAAGTAGTACGTCTGCCCTTATTAGCAATCTCAGTGCCCGTGCTGCCATCCATTCACACAAGCTCATTAGGTAGGTTACTCGCTGCTTTTTCATTGTCTCTCTTGTCTTCAGTATGCCCTATGGGCATCGAGTTCTCCATGCCCTCTTTCTTCTTTGTGTTCCAGAAATTTCAACCATTTCTTTCTGATTCTCAGCACAGGGTTTTTTTTTTTCATTTCCATTTTCCTTAAAACGTTCTTATTGCTCACATGTTCCGTCCATAATATTCTCAGTATCCTTTGTGACACGATAACTAGGCGTATATTAAGCTTGATTTGTAAAATATGTATTTTATTTTAATAAATTAAGAATAGAAAACGGTTAAGAATAGAAAAATACTTTAAAAACAAGTTTCGTTTAACAAAAGTACTAAGGGAAAAAGAAAAGGAAAAAATAAATAAATAAACGCTTTTTCTTTTATAAGTAAATTTGTGGAAGAGAAAAGGGCATCAGATTACTGTTAAATCCTACCAGTCTTCCAATAAAATATTTGACTAAGTGATTAGATGTGAAAAAAGATAAACGCTTAGAAAATAGATTTTAGATGACCAGGTGAAAAACTGTCTTTACTGTATCTCGACAACACATTAAGGAAATAAAGAAAAGATAATAGAATTTTCCCCTTCTTCAGGCAATAAAAAAAGAAAAGGGCTATAAAAACATCCGACGGCTTTCACACGAAGATTTGTCAAGATAAAAAGATAAAAAAAATCCTGGTCACGGCACCAATTGTAACACCCCTTGTGAGCTCCGTACAATTTCTCCGGCGGCCGTTCTCCACGCTGTGATGTTGCCCGGGGTTGGTTGAAAAAGTCGAAGTCTCAAGCTGGGGGCACAAGATAAACCCTTGAAGGAACGAACTTCCACAACTTAGGTGAGTTTAATCAACATTTTATTTCGTTCAGACTTAGTCTTGCCGTTGGGGTAGGCGATGTGACACTCAGCTCTAACTCTAACTAATGGAGATCAAATGCCGAACCGACCGACTCAGACGAATGGAGTTTCACTTCTTCAGTGTGCCTGACACACGTGGCTACTTCAAGCACTTTAAATCCAATATAATAATAATAGATCTTACACTTGATGACGATAGCCCATTTTTTACCAAGCATTCCAAGAAATTGAACTTAAGATGAATCTTTCCAAAACAGAAACTATGATCTGGAATTGGAATGAATGCAGTGATGGCATTTACACTGAATCCATAATAAAAAAAGAGGACTCTTGAAGCACCAGAAATGTGGTTCTACAGAAGGATGCTGAGGATACCATGGATAGGATATATGAACAGCGGCGAAGTTCTAGAGAACATGAAAGCTAAAAGGAAACATAATATTAGGGAGAGACAACTAAAATTTCTAGGGCACGTAATGAGGAAAAAAGGCTTGGAAAATCTGATACTCACAGGGCAGATTGAAGGAAAGAGGAACAGAGGAAAACAACACATGACTTACTTAGTGAGCTTGAGTAAATGGATAGCAGAACAGGGCTTTGGAGAAATAAAAAAGAGAAAATTTATTAAGAGCTACAAAGGAAAGGAAATTGTGGAGAGCCATGATCGCCTAGGACCTGATGGAACACAGTACTTAAAGAAAACAAAAATACTTCAAATATTTCGGTAGTGATTTTCCAGGCGTAGCTTAGATGTGGCATAAGGCCGAAAGTAGGGGGCACCCAGCGAGGATCGAACTCACTACTCAGTCGTAATCGTTTTTAGCGAGACAAGCGGCTAATCATTACACAGCCTCGAGGTGCCCAAATCTCAGTATATGGATCAGCTATAATAAACTTAGTATTGGAGATGATCAAGATGAACAGCGAATCGACTCTGCGATAGGTACTTTTGTTCAACACCATCGTACGTAGCGTTCAAATCGTGCAGAAATGTCTAAACTGTTAACTGCATACCACCAATTTCTAAGATTAATGATTAAAAATGGCTTGAGTGAATGAAGACTGTAGGTGATAGAGAGGACCACTCTTCTTCGAACTTTGTGAACTGACGCTACAGAATCACAAAGAACTGTGCCAAATAACAAAAACCGTGTCAAGTAAAGACTTTCAACAGCGGCGACAACTAAAATGGACAGCACATGCAACTTAATAAGTAATTAATAACATAATCAAGATGTTGATATTCCACACTATTTCAAACAAATGATGAGGAGGGAAAAACCCCATCAATAAGAGAAAAAGCGATAACAAAGAACTTAAGAAAGTTATTTTCCTGAAAAGAAAGATTTTTATAAATTTTATTCGACAGTTGCAATGACTGTTCGGTCAATGAATGGTGAATGTTTCTTGATAACACAAAATCTGTAATATCCACAACGTATTAAAAGTTCGCGAAATTTGAACCGTCTGCTAGCATGACCCAAGTTCACTCTTCTGACCTCACAAAAATACCAAATCGAGACATGATTCTTTTCAGTTGTGATTAAGATTTCCCTAAGGCAGTATTTTCTTTTCTAATTCTTTTTGTTTTTCATTTTTTAATCTTTTAGTCAATTTTACACACCTGAGTTATTTTTATCGGGGGAATTCTTTTATGAAACAATTCAATTTTATCGACAAAGAAGTAATTGAATATGTTTTCTACATCTATTACTGTCGTCGCCATTGTTCTTGCTGTTTTCTTTTAGATAATTCGTTGTTTCTTTTTCAGATATTTAATGGCTTGTTCTTATTATTTTTGCTATTTTTCTTTTTCTTCCTTTTCGTCGTAGTTCTCTTCTTCTTTTTCGTCCTCTTTTTCTTATTCGTATTCTTCTTCGTCCTCTCCTTCTTCTTCCTCCATTTTCTCCCCGTCTTCTTGCTCTTCTTCTTCACCCTCCTCCTCCTCTCCTGCTCTTCCTCCTCTTCCTCCTCTTTGTGTTGTTCTTCCTCCCCTCCTCTTCTTCACTTCCTCCTCCCCCTCCTCCTCCTCGCCTTCTTTTCATTCTTCTTCTTCTCTTCCTTCCCTCTTCCTCCACCTTTTCTTCTTCTTCTTCCTCCTCCTTTCCTTTTTCGCTTCCTCTTCCTCCTCCTCTTCTGTTATCGCTGTCGTTATTAGTGTCCTTCCCCTTGCTTTGACTCTTATACTTACTTTACTCTTATTGTGGGTATTTTTTTTTTAATTATTTACTTCTATTCATATTTACCATTCTATGAACATTTTTTTTGCAATGTAATTGATATGATTATACCAAAACTGCCATCGTAATTGTTCGAATAGTAGATATTT